GAATATTTTGGGGCAACCGAAGGTTTAACGGTTGATTGTAAGGTTACCTGTGTTTGTGAAGGGTTTGTATTTCTTGGTGTTGTTAAGTTTGGACGTATTGGTGAAATACTTTGTTGTGTAGTTGTTGTGTGTACGATTTCTTCATTTATGCTGTGTGATGGTGTCTGGATATCTTGTTGAGTAAGGTTCCTAGTTCCATTGAGGTTTTCATTGTGTATGACTGTAGAGTTTAAACTATTATTTTGCATATCGGGTAAAAATGTATTATAGTTTAATGGTGTTGCATCAATGGTTAATGGTATTACTCTTACATAATCTCTTACATAAGATATCGTACTTATTGCTTGACTTGAGATTGATTGCGGGAAGTTTATGAATGCGGGATGAGACCATTCGGGGTCCCAAACATAGTCTGATTGTTCTGTAATGGCAGTATCATCGTTTGAGTTTTGGGGTCTAAAATTTTTTCTTGCTTGTGAAATTAAATCAATATTATGTGTGAAATAATCTATTATGAACCATGCCAAAATTTTTTGTAAGTCGTGTTTTGTATGTTGTGAAACTTCATCTTTCGTGAAATTTTCTTTAATTATCTTTAGAAAACTAGAGAGTAATGTGATTTCATGTCGTACTCTTATATGTTTAGATGTTTCTGTCGGTGAGACATTTGGTATCTGGATTTCGTTTTCTAATATCGAGATATAACTATATATTATCGCAAAAACTTCATTGGTGAATATGGAGTTTGCTCTTTGTGAGTTATGATATTGGATGCTTTTTATATATTCTGAGAATACTTTTGAAAATTCTAAATCAAGGTCGTCTGTTTGAATTATATATTTACTGTGATTCTGGTTTGGTGAGCTGAATTCTATGGAGTAGATTCCGTATTGTTGTGTTAGGTTACATATATCTTTTAGATAGTGATCGATAATTTGTCTTTTGATTCTTACATCTGGGAACTCTGTTTTACATGGACTGATTCCGGGTTCAAACAAATTTAAGAGTAAATTTTTGCAAAATATATGCTGTCCTCTATCAGTGGTTGCATCTACTATAAAGGGGAAGATATCATCATCATCTGGACTTTCTTCACCTGGGGTGTGCGTTGAGCTCATTTTTTCGTTCGATGACTGTTAATATGTAATTATCAATGTGTCTAATTGGTTGATTCCAATTGTATAAATGTACTGGTTTGTGTTTATACTGCTTTTTTATTCTTCTTTTTCCTCTTTTTGATGAATTTGAAGTTGTTTCTGAGTCAGAGAAATATAATTGATCGTGAATTGGGCAATTTTTATCTATTGATTCTTTTAGTTTATAAAGTTCGTCTAAACTGTTGGTTTCTGATTCTGAAAATGCGTTTCGATTTTTTGAAAATCTTTTTCGTGTTATTTGTCTTTGTTTAGTTATTATTTTTCTCTTTAATGTTTGTCGTTTTGTTCTAATGTATCCAACTGTTTGTGTATGAGGTGTGATTACAAGGTCGTATTTTTTGTTATCTATTTCACAATTGTGTAAAACGATTGTTTGTTTATTTCCTAGGTTTTTAAATGGCATAAGGTTAAGGATGACGGATGCAAAAGGTTGTTAAATGATTTCTATTTGCTTAAACTGTTAGTCCTTACGATTTTTTGGTTAGCTTAACCTGGGTCTATTTGTTCAGGGTTGGAGAGAAAAGTATATCGATTCCGAAGAATGATTTTATACTTTCTCGTGGCTAGTATAAGCTAAGGTGTTAACTTACTTAATCTTACTTAAGGGTAGTGATTGTGTTCAGGGTTGGAGAATAGTAAATCGATCCACAAGGTTCAGGTATAATTAGAACGCGAGTAGTTCGTTAGATACTATTTTAAACTTACTAAGTCTAAGATTTATCCTGGGTCTGGTAAGAGGGGGGATCAAGTGAAGGGTGAATAACCGAAGTTCTTCACTGTTTATACTAATTTGAATGATTAGTTTTGTTCAAAAATTTCTGTTATTAGTCCTGGGTTTTTAGAAAGGGTTGGATAGTGAATCGACGTTTGAGGTCGTTAGACACTAGCTAAGTGGGTGGGGGAGAACAAAGTTGTTCTTTTTGATCCAAGGATAGGCCTTGATGATCAAGTTTTAAATTTAATTAAATAGAAAATGATTTAAGATCCAAGGATAAGCCTTGATGATCTAATTTTAAAATTAAGTGAATTTAAGTTTAAAATGTTTTAAATTTGTGTAAAGAAAAGATTTAGTATTTTTATGATATTAGTGAGCTTATGAATGCTGTTATGTTTAGGTGATGAAGCTGGAACAACAGGATGATTTATAATTATTAACCATTTATTGTCATGCTACTAATTTTTATTTTGATTTTTCAATAAATATTTTTCAAAACATGTTTTGTATATTACTGCAGAATTTAGGAAAACGATCTGAGATCTTTTTATCAATCGTTATTGTATATTAATAATTTTGTTTAGCGCCTGAAATGATTTTGAACATTGACTTCAAAATTTTATGTTTGCAAATGAAAATCTAAATTCATTGCTAGTAGTATTCTAAATACAAAAGTTTGTGTTGGCTTTTGCCGAACTATCATATAACTATATGGTAAGTTTCTACTTTGTCGTATGTCGTCTCTGGTTTGAGGTCTTCTTCCAATTCCGGGTAGTTCTGTTATCGTTCGGAATATTGGCTCTGATCTATTGAGTCGTAGAGACATTTCGATTAAATTATCGTCGTATAACATTTTGTAAATGTTTTGTCTAAATTCTAATCTATTATTGGTTAATTCTAAGCTATTAAGGTCTTGTTCGAGACTTATGGTCGCACCAGATGAGTTAGGACCGAAGGGTATAACTCATAGAGTAATTTCGGATAGGGTACACCGTCTGCTCGTCACGCTATCTTATTTTCGGCCGGATAGATTCGTGCAACTTCTTAGTCTAATACCGATCCTAATCTTACTCTTATACTATCTAGTCTCAGGTTGTTTAACTAGTCTCTGCTAGGCTCAATAGATCTAGGGTATACTGGTTTATTGCGGCTGCTGAAGTACTCGGGAGAGTTCAACTAATTTCTAAGTTTAATTCAGATCTCTCTGGTGCTGAAATTTGCTGAAATTACAAGTAATTTCAGCACTTACAAATAAGTGGATTGTTAGTCAGATGGATCATGATTGGTTAATATTAAATACTTTACATTGGTAAAATATCTAATTTATCCAATCATAAAATGTAGTTTAGATCAGGTTCCACTTTTTAGGAAAGCAATAACTCGCTAAATTTGAAAATTCGTTTTAAAATCATGGATTTAGACAGTAGCGGATGTTTTGCTCAGTTTTATTCAGTTTTGCTTCGGTTCGCTTACATTCGGCACGAGCGGTTTATAATGCGCGTGAATCAGTGTTTGCCGCTAATCATGATAATTTTATTCGTCTAATTTTTGGAGCTGTCTTTTGTCGCGAGTTGACGAGTTGTGGTATTAAGATATACAAAAAAAAACATTCACTTTTATTGGTCAAAAAGCCTTGCCATAAATCTCAATGCAGTTGCCAGAAAAAAAACACAATTGTTCAAAAACGTTCTAAAAATCCGCCTTTGTTCGATATGCCTAGATATGTCCCTGGTTTTGATAACTAGGTTTGTAGTTCCCGTAAAATATTCAGCTACAAAATTATTTCTAAATTCATTTTAAAATTGAGTTGAATTAACGCTTTGCACTTTGCAAATCAACAGCTCGCTCTGCAAGGCCTCCCGCGCCTTTTCTTTCAGCAATCGATTTTTTTTGCTGAAGAAGAAAACAGCATTAGAAGATTATCTAGCGGGATCAAATAAGTCATTCAGATATTGTGCGCAAATGGTAGACCTAATTCCCGGGGGATTTCGGTGCCTTTGTTAAGACGTGATGTTGCTTCCGGCTATCGCGCGATTTAGGAGATAGGTAACTGCTGTTTTGATGCCATAAAAAGGCAGTTCAATTTGGCTGAATGTTGTTTTTATTGATTCGGACGTGAAAAGCAGAAGATAAAATCCAATTACATATTTCACATACAATTTTGGCAGTAACCTCTTTTAATAAGGTATGGAACTGTTATTTGGTTCATTTTATTTTTAAAATCATTTTTACGCCTCATGGATTTTACACGGATTTTATTTCAAACTTCAGACGCTCAGTCAATCTTGAAAATTAAACCTTCACCGGATTAAGAAGCCCTTGCAGTATTTGTTAGCTGAATAATGCATCGGCTAATCTGCAATACTGAGCAGGCAGACCAACCTGACAAAAGCATCAAAATTGGCGAATGTATCATGTACGTCGAGGAGGTGTTTCAGACTCAGGGCAATTGAACTGTAACTTGGTAAAACCCCCATCCCAATTTTTTGCGCTGATTAAGACGCTTATCGAGCAATTTTTACGGAAGATGTTTAATAAGTTTTTGCGTTTAGTGTCTTCGATAAAATTGTATAACTTTTAGACTTCATTTGGCGTCTTCGATATATGAAATAATGCATTTTTGCGGGAGATCAAAATTTTTTTGAGAAACTATGAATGAGTTATAAGCATGCGGTAATAATAAAGTTAGAAAAAATGTTATCTTGAGAATAAGAAGAAAGAAAAAGAAATCATATTTTTTATTTCGATAATTCTCTCCGGACTGAACAGAATACAAATGAGAAGAGGCATAATTTCCTCTTTGGATTACCATCACCGTGTTCACAATTTGGCATGCATTCGATTCAGTAAATGACGGCGGTCATTCATCAATGCCTCAAGGAAAAACGGCAGAGGAAAAACCTCAAAATAAAACTTGAAAATTTAGCAGTTATAATTTTTCAAGTTACATTTTTGTTTTGAAAAATTTCTGCGAACGCCGCTGGTTAAAATAGAAATGTTTTTAAGTCACAAAGCTAAACTTTTTATTGTTCAAAATAGAAAATTATTATACATTTTTTGACATGATTTTGAAATTTATCTACCTTCACTGTTGTGACTACTCATTCATTGATTATTTTTTTGACCAGGTAGACTATACCACAGTGACCAAGAGACGCCCGCGTGCAGAATCAGAAAGTACCCCCCGTATTCCCACTTGGCCGACAGAACAGTCAGCAGACTGAGTCCACAACTGAGGAACCCCACAAGTGTGAACATCAGGAGCAAATTTCAGCTAAGGAATGAAGGGGCAAATGAGTTGCCTGCCAGTCCACTGCTAGATAGAAGTTAGTTTCAAACAGATACTCTGATTTATATTTGTTCTATGTTTTTTCAATTGATTTTTTATTTTCAAGTTTGCAAGGTAGATATGATGTTTCATAAGAGATTGTGCTCCGGTTCAATACGTATCGCAAATTTTAAAATTTGTTTATTTTCTAAAAATAAAATAAAAAAAAATTGAAATATATGAAAAGTTAAAAATTTTTTAAAAACAATCGTTCCGTTGTAGACTTTTTTGGCAGTCTTATCTTTTCATTTTAACTTAAGTCAAGAAGCAAGCTAATTAGATTTTGACCACAATTAATTACAGCAGCCTGTTGAACAAAATAGTGGTCGAAAAGTGAATCAAACTTTTTGCGTGTTTTTTTTTTTCAATTCTGAATTTAGTTTTTTTTTGTGTTGTTTTTTCCGTGTTGCTTTTTTTTCAATTCTGAACTTTATCCTCATAAACATACCTTTCACCTCAGTTTTGTTTTTTGTTGCCATAAAATGTGTTTTGAAGCTTTTCCACATTTCTGTCAGAAGACAATGAATAAAGAATACACGATTCTGATATTTGATTGATAAGTCACAAAAACAATTTCCTCGACAGGTACTCAATGAATCAGTTGGAAACGCCGGAAAAACTGACGGACGTTTTTACTTCCTCCATTATTCAGTGACCTAAATCACCGGCATTGATAAATTGTTTTCCTGCTGCTAATAAATAATCTGCTTACCCCAAATCTCAACGGCGTGGAAAATTTGTTACTATATTTTTTTATCGTATACGGATAAACTAAAACAGGGCTCTTTTTGTAACAAACTAACTAACCATTTTTGATCAACCCGGTTTTTCATATTGAACGGCGACTAATTCCAAGTCCCGTTTTTGTTCATACCAATTTTCCCGGTGCTACCAATTTCATTGCATTTTTAAACATTTCATCACTCCATACATGTATTTTTGTTTTATTTTCACGTACGTGCTTTCTTCATTTTTGAAGCCTACAATAAATATACCATAGACGCTCTTTTTAAACTTACATGTAAAGCCCATTTTTCTGCCCTCTGATTATTTTCTGGGGCATTAAAACATTTTTTTGTCCCAGTTTTGCATTCGAAAATAAAAATAATAAGCTTAAGGTATACTGCCGCCCGCAGAAAGTTTATCCCCCTTGCGCCGCCTTACGTTTATCTTAGTTTAACTCTGAGCCTGCGTGTAATATGGTTTAAAAAATAATTGGATTGCAAAATCAAATTTCGGCTCCATGAGCTGTTTTCTTTTGCTGATTAAAAGACTTAGAGGAAAATAAACCGCCCTCGTAAAGCTATCGAAGCTGCGATCAATTTAGCACTTTTTACCCTGCATTATGTTTTTTAAAGGTAAGCTTAGCATTAAAATTGTTTTTAATTTCCCTCTTGGAACTTTTTACCGTTCTTACCTTTTTCAGTTTTTTTTTAGTTTCACTTCACCAATTTTACCTGCTGGTGTGCAATAGTACTTTTAAAAGTAATGAAATTAGATTACTAGTCGTTTAATAAATCTAATCTCGCAGTTTCCATCAGTTAACGAACAAAATTGTGATACAGAGAAAATTTGATTATGGAAAACTTGGTACAAGAATAGTAGTTGGGTCCCAAGGTAATTATTCATAATTATACATAATTCTTTCTAATAAATGAAGAAAGGTCATTTTGAAGAAAAAAAAATGTGATGCGAATATATTGTGTTTGCGTTATGGATTTTTGATGAGAGGCTGTCCCCCACATTTAAGCTTGCTTTTTGCAGATACCCAACTATCATTATTGTTTCAACCGCAAAACATTCCGGTCTCACTAAATTACCCTTCAATTAACTTAGATTTTTTTGAAGTTTATTTGGCTATGTTAGCATTGGCTAAGAAATCTCCGTGCCTCAATAATCAATCTGAATTAATCTGATCTTTTTGTTCCGACCATTGAAAATGGGGAGAAATTTTGTATTCAGGTATGTTTTAGTTTTTGTTACGACTATTGTCCACGCAAAACCAGCAACCACAAAAAATCATCGAACAGGGTTGAGTGATATATCATATTTAGGCCCTTTCAGTCGTGATTCTAATGACTTTCAAAAATTTCCAAAAACTTTCCACAGTGTTCAGAAAAATCGGTTTGACATTTTTCCAATTGACATTTCATACTATGACTCTCGAATATGCCTAAGTTTTTTTATTTTGTTCGGATTTTTGTTCTCACAACATGCAGAAAAAAACGACAACAACTTGTAAGAAATATTTTGTGTCTCTTTTAAGGTTGTGGTCGGAACATTCTGTGCTGCTTGCACAGTAACCAGCTATCCTTGTTTTGCTTCTGGTTTTTCACGCAATATCAGGTACCACAAATAATCATTGGACTGGGTTGAGTGATATATCATATTACAGCCTTTTCAGTCGTGATTTAATCGACATAGAAAAAATTGAATTTTTTCTCGTTGTCGAGAAAAACCGGTTTGAAATTTTTGATTTTTGGTCTAGTTTCTAGATAAAAAGGTGATGGTTTGATTGTATATGCTTTAAGTTTCAGCGGTGAAAGCTTAGTTTTGTTCAAACAAAAAGAGTTTCTGGAGTTTTTAGCACAACTTAGGCAATCAAAAACTTGGAAAATCAAAAAAGAATTGAAAAAAAGTTAAAATTTTCAAAAACTGTTTGCCATTTGACCAATTTTAATGACCCTCAAAAATGCCTATATTCGATTTTTTGCCAAGATTTTTCTTAAGACTGTGGTCGGAGCATTCTGTGATACTTGTACAGCAACCGGCTATCCTTGTTATTAGTTGAATTCTTTTCTAATTTTCTACCAATGCAATCTGGTGCGAAACTGACGGTAGAATTTAATTTGCTTGAGGAAGTAGTATCCTTCATTTTGCCATAGTCGATCCCATTTAGAAGAGCTTGATGACATTGGCCACCCTCCAAACGTAACCAAAATGGCATTCTAACCCCGACATTTGTCTTAGCTGTCGCGCATCTCTCCCATTAGGCCACGGCCGCTCTTGAATTGTGCTGGCTCACGGTTTATGTTTTGTCTACATCAAATTATTTGTAAATTTGAGACGCTTAAGGAAAATGGGGAGTAACTTTGTATTCGGGTGTTTTATTTTTTTAAAACTTTTTGTTTTCCACACAAACTCAGCTACCACAAATAATCATCGGACAGGGTTGAATGATATATCATATTAAAGCCCTTTCAGTCATGATTCGAATAACATTTTAAAATTTTGAAAAATGTTTTCTCAGGGTTGAGAAAAATTGGTTTCAAATTTTTGATTATTGGTCTAATTTCGAGCTAATTAGTAAGTTAGTTAGTAATTGCACTAGCTTATTTATTTTAGATTAAAAGTTTATAATAAAAGTTTTTCATATTGTTTTGCTTGTTGCTCTGACCATTTGAAAAGTGTGGAAGAGCTTTGTAATCGAGAGCGTTTTAGTTTTCGTTCCGACCATTGAAATTGTTTAGTTTATTTATTTCTAACCATAGTTTATTTTTGTTTTTTTTTTTCAACGCAAAATCAGCTACTCCAAATAATCATCGGACAGGGTTAAATGATATATCATATTACAACCCTTCCAGTCGTGAGTCCAATGACATCAAAAAAATTTTAGAAAAAAATATTTCATAGTGTTGAGAAAAACCGGTTTGAATTTTTTGATTTGAGGTCTAATTTCGAGCTAATTAGAAAGGGAGTTAATAGTTGCAATAGCTTACTTAAGCGTAATTTAAAACCTGAAAACTTAGTTTTACTCAATTAAAGATAGTTTTCGGATTTTTTAGTGCAGTTTTTGCGAACCAAAAACAAGAAAATTCAAAAAAATTTTGCAACCATTTTTGAAAAAAACTTCAAAGTTTTTTCCGACTTCTTTTTTCGTTTTTGGTCATTTTTTTTCAAAAACTGTTTTCCAATTGACCTATTTTTTATGACTTTCAAATATGTCTAAGTTCTGTTAGATTTTATTATCACGACATTTCAAAAAAAGTACACCAATTTGAGAAAACCTTATAGTATTTTCTAAAGACCGTGGTCGGATCATTCTGTGCTACTTGCACAGTAACCGGTTATCTTTGTTTTCTTTTTTCGTTTTGTTTAAATTTAGCTGCACAAATTTTGCTTAAACTTTTGTTTCAATTATCATTTCACATGCTTGAGTGATATATCATATTCGTGACTTGAACGACATTAAAATATTTCCTGATTTTGAGAAAAAGTGGTTTGATATTTTTTATTATTTTTTTTGTCTTTTTTTGAGCAAGTAAAGCAAACAACTAACATTTGTTATATCAGAAAATTATAAATTTAGGCTAAAAAACTTGATTTCACTAAAAAGAAAACTAGTTTTGGATGACGTACAGAAAATACACTACCTTGTTTTTTTGTTTTGTTTTCCACGCAAAATGAAGTAAAACAATTAAACATCGAAATGGGTCGAGTGTTATTATATCATATTAAGGCCCTTTCTGTCGTGATTCGTTATAAAATTTTTTCTCAGAATCGAGAAAAGCAGGTTTGATTTTTATTTTTGGTCTTATTTCGAGCTGATAAGTTGAGCGTGCAGGCCTACAATAGTTTATTTAAGCTGCTTAAATTAAACCGTGAAAATTTAAACTTACTTGAAACAAAAATTAGTTTATGGGTTTTTAAGCGCCATTTCAGACTAAAAAAATTTCATTATTTTTTTTCTACAAACACTGTCTTCCAATTGGCCTAGTTGAATACGGCAGTCGCATTTGCCTAATTTCTATTTTATTGTTCAGTTTTTTTATCACACAACACAAAAAACACGACCTTTTTATTTGAAAAAAAAAATTCTATAGTTTCTAAAACTATGGTCAGAACATTCTGTGTTACTTGCACAGTAACCGGCTACTCTTGTTGTCATTAATAAATGTATGAATTTCTCGCAACGAATGTAAGACGAGAGTAGATTTTGTGTGGTAATGAGCAGTGGTGGGTCTGGGGGAGGCGTTGTGAGCCCGCCACTGTCCTGATTTCTTAAAATGGTTTCCTAAAAACATCTCTGAGAACTTCGTCGAAAGCCTAGATCCGCCCGTTGTGATAGATTGAGTCCCATAAAATTATCGATTGCATGAACGCTGCTGTTTAACGATTATCCTGCATGGCAATGCGAATGTTTGAATTTCTGAGGACAGGGAGTTACAAAAAGACAGGGCATTTTTGAGGGCGCGGTTGAAAGGAGTTGAAAAATCGCTTTTCCACCATTCCAAATTGTAGAGAATAAATAAACGGTATAGCTGTATAGCAGTCGATTTTCTGAATTTGTCTATAATGACAAAATGAAATGTTTGGTAATTGGGTAAATTTACCCACATACCAAGTTTCATAAGCGTTAGAAACCCTGAACAAAACTTAAGAACTTCGTAAAAAATTGTGCGGTTAAAAAGTGTGGGGTTGGGGAAGGTAGAAAAGCCCCACTTTTGTTCAGAGTCATTCATGAATCAGCAGCAGCAGCCGCCGCCGCAGAGTTTCAACCAATCCATTCTGTCCAACACCAGCCCTATGATGGCGTCACAGCATGACCCACTTTTGGGGGCCAGTAGGAATCTGGAACAGTGCTGGGACCAGGCTACTACTCTCACTGGAACCAGTGGCGGCACCAGCTCCCTTGAGGTCTGGCACTAATTTTTTACTTTGCCGGCCGCGGAAATGTTAATTCCGTGACCAAAAATCCATATTCTGGACAGGGTCTTAATTCGCGGACAAACTCTGGAAACACCGTATCTCGGTCGCGATGGTCGAAAAATAAGCCGTGGCGGTCGAAAAATTAGTAGCCCCCTTTTTGCTAAAATTTAGTGTTTTTATAAGAAAGGGGGGTTTGGGATTTAGGGGGTTGGGGTGGGGGGCGGACGCCTCCTTTTTAGGGATACGACCCCCTCGCTAACCAAAGGTCCCCTTTGATATTATTTTGACATCCATTATAGGCCGACCAACCCTAAAATTTTTCTAAAGGCGCCTTGGGCGCCAATATACTAATTTTGACGGGGAGCGTGCGCCGGAAAATGCGCTAAACTTTTGGTCAAAAAAAATTTGCATGCGGCGCTAAAATTTTGGTCAAAATAGGTTCTTTATAGTGTCTTGGGATTGCTGGAAAAACAATTTGGTCGACCTAAAAAAAGGTCGGAAAAAATTCCTAAAATTGTTTGAAACTCCCCACCCCCCCCCTCGAGAAAATCCTAGACCCGCTCCTGTGGAGGAGGTGATTATTAAAAAAGATCTCATTATCACGAACCAGAAAAATGAACTCGAACCTAATTCAAGTCCCATGGTTTTTACTTAGAGTAGAGTCCCATTATTTTCTACTCAAGTCCCATGTTACATTTCAAAACTAAGGAAGAAGATCTTCTTTAAATTTAATCTGCAGATTAATTTTGCATTGTCGATTTGACTTGTTGTTTCGACAATTTTAAACTAACTTTTTGTTTGATATAAATGCGCATTGTTCTAGGACCCCGCCCAGTTCTACAACAGGGGAGGAATGGGGATGGTCAACCCGGGGGTTGGAGGGGCGTTTGGAGGTGGTGCAGGAAGAGGCTACGGAGGCTTTGCCGGGTACGGCATGGGAGCGGGCATACAACCGACTGGAAAGAAAGGCGACAAAAGCAGTGGAGCTGAGGAGTTCTATATCGATACCAATTTCTCGGCAGACGATGACAATCGAGTTCCAATCTTGGACAGGTACATATAATGACATTTTTTAATGTTATTTTTAATGTTTTATTAAATTTTTATTAATAAATTTGGTGTACTTGCAAAAAAAGTACAATTCTAAGTAAAGGTTTTCAAATTTTCCCTATTTGGTTCTTATTTTTGCATAACTTCGAAGTGATTTAGGCTAGATGGCCGATGACCTATTAATTGGTTCTAAAATTAAGCCCAATCTGTATCATATCTGGCAGGTGTTTCCCGCCTTTCGTGTCAACAGTGGCAGTGATAGTGACCTTGGCCACCCCTGTTCTTTTCGCCCTTCTGCCATCGTTCCTGTGGAGTGGACCGGGAGGGAGGGTGGTCAAATGCGATGACCTCTGTACCTCCATCTACCTGACCATGACCTGCAAAGTGTTCATCCTCGCAATTGGATGCTGGGCCCTTCATCTCAGACGCCCCAGAGCTCATCTACCCTGCAACAGTATCGTTAGTATACCCATATGGATCTCTTTAACTATATCCCCCCTCCCCCTCAGGTACCTAGTTACAAATATCCCCTCTCGGGTACCTAGAAGAGATTAAATACCCCCCTATAAAGAAATGAATCAACGGTTAGGTATATGAGAATTTTAAAACTAGTAACGAATCTCTCCTCCCCCTTCGCAAAAGTGGGGATATAGTTGAAGTGATCCATCCATATTAAGCACCATGTGTAATGAAATCAAATTAATGCTATGACTAACAAGCCTGCCTCCAATAATCAAATGGCTCGCAAAAAATTAGTTGTTGTTCTGATCAAGCTATCTAAGTAAGGAAACTTTGAGCCATTTCAGGTTTAGCCATATCGTAAATAGGTTTGAAAAATTTAAGGCTTCATAGAACGAATAGGTTCCCGACAATTTGAGGTTTTTAAGCAAGCTAGTCCAGCTATGAAACTTTGAAAAATTTCAAAATATTCAATGAAGCAACTCGGATGGCGAAACTTTATTTTTCTAAGGAAGCTATTCAAGCGATGAAACATTGAAATTTTTTAGGTTTCTCTTAGCAAGTTAGGTTTCGCGAAAGTTAGGTTAAGCTATTGAGCAAAAATTTTGAAACTTTTCACCTTTTTTCATGGATCAAATCGGTCGGCAAAATATGAACTTTGTAGTTTTTGAAATTTTTCAGTATAAATTGAACGTCGAAAATTTCATGTTTTCTATTTGGGCCATTCAAGTGACGAATCCGAATAATTTTAGTTATTTCCTAACGGGTATCGGATAGCATAAAATTGCAGTTTTTCTATTGCAATCATTCAGCCGACGAAACACTTTGTTTTTTTTTCATAGACCAAATCGGGTTTCAAAAAATTCTTCTAAGCAAGCTTTTAAGCTAAGAAATTTTGAAACAAAACAAATTGGATAGCAATTTTTTTTTTTATAATTTAAAGCCATTTGAGCGACCAAAATTTGAATAGTTTCAAATTATTTCACAGAACGAATCGATCCGCGAAAAATCAAACTTTTACTAAAACTAAATATTTATAAACTGATAGGCTTGGCAAAAAATTATAAAATTTTTCTAAGCAAATTTTGAAAATGAAACAATTCAATTTGTTTAAAAGAGCTAATCAATTTGAAAAAAAAACTGAAGTTTTCCATGCAAGCTATTCAAGCAAGGAAAACTTTTAGGTTGTTTTATAGAGCAATCAGTGAGCAAAACATTTTCTCATGCTATTCAAGTTCTGTTTTTTTTTCAACTTATCTTATGAAAGCAATCGAATAGCGAAAAAAGTGAATTTTGTTTATTGCCAATACACTAATTGAACTACTTGAAATACAAAGCACTTCCATGGACCAAGTTAGAAAATTTCCAATTTTTCCAAGCAAGCTAATCAAGCTATGAATCTTTGAAACAAACTAAGACAAATCGGATAACGAAAAATTGAATTTTTTTGCTGAAGCCATTCAACCGATGAAAATTCGAAATATTTAAATTTTTTCATAAATTTTACTTCAAGTTTTTTTGGAGCCTATCAAGCGATGGAAATAAGAAAAAATTCGTAGATCAAATTCGTAAACAATTTTTGTTTTGCTAGCTATTTGGCTTAAGCTTTGAAAGGCTTCAACTTATTTCTTAGACCGAATCGGTTCGCCGAAAACTTAACTTTTCTTGAGAAAACTATTCAAGCTATGAAACATTACAACCTATTTTATCGACTATTTCCTTTTTGAATAAAAATAAGTTTTAATAAGTAAGCTATTCAGGCTATGAAACATTTCTATTAAGCTCGTGGATCACATCGAAAAGTAAAAAAGTTGAATTTTTCTAAGCAAGTTATTCAAGCTATGAAACTTTGAATTGTTTCAAGTTATTTAATGGACAAATTAGTTCGCGAAAAGTGTTTTTCTTTTAAAAACTGAATCAGTTTCACAAACTGAAGTAGTTTCAAAAAGTTTTTATGCAGAGAATCGGATAGCAAGAAAATGAAGTTTTTATTTTGCATTCCTTCAACCAATGAAAACGTTCGAGTTATTTTAAAGAACTATTCGGTTTTGGAAAAGTTAATGTTTTTCACGCTAATCAAGCTTTGAAACTTTGAGCAAGCTATTCAAGCTATGAATCATTACAAGCTATTTTATCGACTGTTTCCATTTTGAACAAAATTAAATTTTACTAAGAATGAAAAATTTCGAGTTATTTTAAAGAACTGTTCGAATTTTGAAAAGTTAATGTTTTTCAATCTAATTAAGCTTTGAAACTTTGAAAAATTTCATGGTAACTTGTGAACTAAATTGGTTCGCGAAAAGTTAAAAAAATTTTAAGCAAGCCTTTAAAGCTAACAAATTTCATATTATTTTAAGGTATTGCATAGACAGAAACGATTCGCAAAAAGCATATGTTTTTCTAAGCAAGCTATTCAAGCTATGAAACTTTGAAAGATTTCCAGTTTTTCCGTGGGCCAAATCGGTTAGCAAAAAGTTTCAGTTTTTCTAAACAAGCCTGTTTTTATGCTATGAAACGCTGAAACATTTCAGTTTATTTCATGGACCGAATTGGTTCGAAAAATTCTTTCTTAGCATGGAAGTTGCTCTTTTAAGTGGATTCGTTTCAGACTCAAATGAATCTCTAAACACAAACTTTGGACAAAAATTAGGCTGGTACAGTCTAGCCTTGAAGTTGGATTGAGTTCATCTTCCTCTGATGGTTGCTCTGAATAATTTTTAAACGTTGTACTCGATAGAAAAGTTAAAACGTTGTACTCGATAGAAAAGTTAAAACGTTGCGTCCATAGTGCATTAAGACTTTCATTTAATAAATAGGATTATATGAGTTAGCAATTCGCTCAATCCATGCTTGACTTAACGCTTAGAAAGGAACAAAA